GGAAGCCCTCCAGGCTTGTAAAGAAGAGAATGGAAGCTTCACCAGCACAGCACAGAACACCTGGAGACCAGGACAAGGGCATGACGAGAGAACTCCGCCTGCAAGGAAACTGAGAAGTAGCTGCCTTTCTTTAGAAACCCGGACTCTGCCCAGGGCTCGCTGACCGTGTGTCGGCACAGTGGAGACATTCTGCTGAGGGCACGCTCGGGGGCACTTCTGATCTCTGACGAGCACAGCAGAGATTTGCCTTAACGATGCTCAGAAGGCTCCGGTTTCTGGTTAAGACAGCCACGGAGGCCGAAGATACTTTAGATGGTAAACTAAGTTGTCCTAGAGGCTGAAAAAAAGAACTTCTTATCATCGGAAACTATGAGCAAGTTCAATGAGTAGGATAACAGTTGGGGGTAGTTACGAGGATGCTGTTTTCTTCTGCAGAAATGGCGACTAACGGCCAGAACAACTACCTGTCTGAAGCTTCTGCCTTTAGGTACCTTCGCTGCCTTGTGTTGGAGCTGGAAAGCCATATGAGAGGATTTGAATTACTATTATTTTTTCGTCTTCATTTGGCGTGGTTCTTGTTATGTGATAAATCTTTGTTCCAGAGCCCAGTAAGATGGCAGAATACGACCATTATTAATTCTAAGGGAAAGCATCTCTATGGGAATGAACTCTGGTTGGAAATGTTAAGTAACAGAGGAGAGAAATTGACATAGAGATACAGTACAAATATGGCCCAAGAAAATCCAGGGCCTGAACATCTGGTTAAATAATTGTTTCCCAAAAGTGCAGCAGAAACTGCTGAAAATAGCTTGTAGTGCTCTCTGAGCCAGCTGCCTGGAAATGAGGGAAAAGAGCATTAATAGAACATTTACCTCACTCAGGTAGCCTGTGTGCAGGTGACAAAAATAGAATGGTTATAATCACCCCCAAGTTTCTGGAATAATGAAGCATGTTCCTGAGTAGGGAAAAATAACAGAGGCCTTTGGAAGACAGCAAACAGACGCAGCAGTTGGTGATCCTCAGCTCGGCTTTACCTGTGTCATACAGTTTTACGAGGCACTTGCGAATTCAGTGAATACACACAGCAGAACTGGTCTGTGTCCAGCCCTGTGCTTGGGGCTACGCAGCCGGCTGTAAATCAGATGGACCTGGTCCTGACCTTCCTAAGTATGCAGGCGGTGGGAAAGAAAGACAGGAAATAAATAGTGACAGCTGTGATGATGGGTATGTAAGGGACATTCATGGGAGTGTGAGGCAGGGGGATGAGGCCTGAGGGAGTGGCCTTTAGGTTAAGACCTGAAGAAGGAGAAGAAGACCTTAAAAAGACCGACACACGAATCCCAGTTTATACTTAGAAGTCCCTACCCTTCCCCCAAGACCCGCTGGGTCTCAGAGTGCGTTTTTGTAAGTTGGGAAAGGGCTGACTTGTGGCCCTGCCTGCCCCAGGGAGAGCAGGAAGGGCTGGACAGCGCCCCCTCCTGGCCTCTGGACTTGGTCTCTTCGTTTGAGGCCCATGTGGCACGTGCACGTGGTGTCCCTCCTCCGTAGGACAGGACTTCATTTATTTTAATGAATGCAGCACTAAACAGTGCTGATTATTTTGCTGATATTTAGCTAAGAGATAAAATTATTCACATCTCAGAAAGATTTCAGACCATTCCAGTGTATGGTTGGCTTGGAGATCATTGAATACTTAGCAGGGAAGAAGAGAGCTCCTATTTCTTGCGGTATATGTAAATTGCATATTGTGGTTCTTCGCGTCTGAAACTAAAGTATAAAAAAGGACATGTGTTCAGTCGGATTGTTGTTGTTGTTGTTTGTTTCACCAGGGGAGGAAGCCCACACGCCAGATAGTGCTTACTGGGCGCGGAGGGAGGACCAGAGAGGGGCAGGGAGGGCTCAGGAGCCCGGGGCCGTCTGCAGTGTGGGAAGGGGAGCTATTGGCAACTGCCTCCCACGCGAAGTATGAGCACCATGGCTGGGATAAAGGGCAAGGCAGGCGGTGGCCCGGCGCGAATCTGGAAAAATACACAGGGACCTAAGCACGGGAGACCTTGGTAGCCCGTCAGGTGGGTTGAAAATTTGAAGGCCGTTCCACTTGTTTTATTGAAAAATTAGCACAGCAGCATATGGCAGAAAACATACAGTAAAAATAAGGTACTGGAATACTAGTGAAAAGTGTATAAGAAAAAGAGTAGTTTGCCCAAACCCCATTCCGCCTTCACCTCCCCCACTCTTGTGGTCCCACTCTCCCCAACAGGCTATTTACAGACTTTAAGAGAACATGTGCCTACATTTTGGAGCTATACCTAACACACTTGCACCTTTACATCTTTATTTATTACACAACTTTCAAACATGTGGAAAAGCTGAGCAATGAGCCCCGGTGTCCCTGTATCAGGCTTCACTCGTGTACAGTGCGCGGCGGCCTCGTGACACTTCCCTTTCGGATCCTTCGGCTCCGAGAACGACAACGTGTGAGCTTCCCAGGGCACGCAGGGGAAGTCAGCAGCTTGCACTTCCTCAGCCTGGGCCGGGCTGCCTTCCCGTTTCTTGGACCAGTCGAGCGCAGAAGGTAGAGGTGATCAGATGAGCCCCTCGCCCACCCATGCTGTGCCCACGCCTTCCAGACCACGTGGGCTGTGTGCTGAGGGCGGTGATAGGAAAGGGAAGTTGGCGGGGCTTTGGCCAAAGTAATCAAGTAGCTGATGGGAGGCCACAAAGACAAAGGACCGGAAAAAAAAAATCAGCACCAAAACCCCCCGAAATCGGTACCCTATACATTGAGTGACAGGGCAAAAATGGAGTCCAAGGGAACAGTCAAAAGCAGTTCCAAAGCTAGACAAGCGAGAGTCAGTATTTATTCTGTTGTTTGTTTTTGGAAGTTTATACATTTTATTGTTGCTCTGTTACGGTTGTTCCAATTTTTCCCCCTTTGCCCTCCTCCACCCGGTCTACCCCCGACTCCCACAGTCAGTCCTGCTCCTGTTGCCCATGTCCATGGGCCATTCACACGTGTTCTTTGTTTAGTCCCTTTCCCCTCTTTCCCTCATTGCCGCCCCCCCCTCCCCTCTGGTCACTGTCAGTCTGTTCCTTGTGTCTGTGCCTCTGGTTCTACTGTGTTCGTTCATTTGTTTTTGTTCATTAGGTTCCTTTTATAGGAGAGATCATATGGTGTTTGTCTTCCCTGCCTGGCTTAGTTCACTTAGCATAATACTCCCCAGTTCCATCCATGCTGTCTATTCTATTGTTAATAAATAATTTTCTTAGAGTCACTTCCCTAGACTTAGCACATCTCAGAAAGCATAGATTACCCCTTCCACTGGCAGCAAATTAGTTCTCGTGCATTCAGCAGTAGCGGAGGGTGTCGCAGTCCCGGCGACCGTGAACTTCGAAACAAGCGGCAGAGCCACAGCGGTCTCTGTCAGAGAGAGAAGCCTCCAGCTTCCTCCACAGAGGAGGGGAAGTCAGGTTTGTCTTTGTCTCTACGGCAACCTGTTACACTCAGCAGGATTCATCCCCGCGCCCTCCCTGACATCACGGATAAAAATACCAGTTCCAAAGGACAACTGCCTGGGTCGAACTCCCTTCTCCACCCAAAGGCCAGTGACATGCAGACACAAGGGGGAGATTAGATTCCGATACCTTTGTGGAGGTTACATTTGATGTTTAATAAAAATTCAATAGTGAACATGGGATAAGTAGAACTTTGTTGGACTTCCTTTCTTCCATTTTCTAGGCAAATTTTTGTTTAAGTTGTAAATCATTAGTGGAGGATAAGCTATGGGCTCAGCCAAGCCCCGAGTCTTCCTCCTATTAGGTTTGTGACCTCAGAAGTTATTTACTATCCCTCAGTGTCTCTTCGCTCATCTATGAGATGGGAATCATAGTATCTAAATCAGAGCTCTGTTGCAAAGATTTCATAAGTCATAGAAATGACCTCACCCAATGCCTGGGACATAGCCACCGCTCATTATGTGTAGGCGTCATTACTGTTCGTTCAATTCACACATATTTCCTGAGCGCCCTTTATGTGCCAAGCGCCTGGCAGAGGACACTAGTGAAATAAGAGGGAATCACCCTAGAACTGAGAGAAGTGCCGACGGGACTCGGGAGTTCTACGACGCCTGCTAGGTCAGTTCTCTTTGTGAGGAGCCGCTCCACTCTCAGCAAGGCTCCGGGAATGACGTTCCAAACACCAAAACACGGCTTCAGCAAGCGAGAGAAAAATGGCACGGTGCGCACCCATCACCCCCGGAGACGAGTCTCCAGTTAGAATCCTCCGAGCCAAAGGGCTGGGCGCTGGAATGAGATTATGAGAAAGATCAGGAATGCTGAGCTGTGGGTCACTTAGGTGACCGCAGGTTAATCAGCCGGCTGCGCCCCGAAATCCTGTTCCAGAGTAAAGCCTGTCTCGTCCGTGCACCTCTCAGCACAGCTGCCGTCACCTGGCGGGGCCTGGATTCCATGGCGACCGGAGGAGGCCGTCACCTGTTTGGAGCTAAGAACACACAGGCTTATGGACTTGGTAAGGTTTGCTAACATGACTCGGACCTTTGGTTGAAACAAAAGTCCTGGAAAATGGAACTTACTGACCAAGGAGAGCTAATCCCAATAGGTTTGTCACGTCCGGGCTGCGTTTACGCCACTTCTCGGTTTAGGTTACACCCAGGAACCCTTCCCGAGGCAGGAGGAGGAGAGAGGATGGGCTAGGGTCCTGACAACGCTGTCTGGGAGCAAGACTGACACTCATTCAGTCTCTTACGCGAGGGCGGATGCTAACCTCGAGGTGGCCAGCTCAGAAGCGACTTCAGTTTTAGGTCGTCCACACGAACCGGACATACGGGCCATGACGGGACCTGGCGAAAGCTTAAGAACACCCCTACACGCGTATACGTGTTACGGCGCATGAACACATTCACCTTTGTCAAGAGACAGATCTTTATCCCCACCTCATGGATGGGACGACAGACGCACAGAGAAGGTAAGGGATTTTCCATAGAATCAAAGGCTCCCCCCACTATACCGGCCTATCTCTCTTGCTATTAGAAAACTTCTTAAGGCACAGGAAATTGAGAGCCTCGTTGAGGGCCAGCTGGGCTGAGGGAGTGAAATCAGATTATTATGGTGATCCGCGGTCCTTAGAAGAGTAGGTCAGAAATAAAAGCCAAGAGTCTGCAGACCTCGAGAGGCCGAGAGGCAGTCTCCCCGAGAAGACCCGGGCGGCGGAGAAAGGCCCCCAGGGAGAGCGACCGGGTACGCAGAGAAACTGCCGAGCAGCACGGGGCCTTTTCCTGGGAAGGTGATTCATCGTGTCTGTGACCTTCGCCGCCTGCCTGAAGAAAGCGAGGAAGTAGGATTCAGATGCAGGGAACCCAAGGCCAGACGCAGGTGTGGAGCTGCGGCCTCTGCACGCTTCACTTCTCGGTGTGGTCGTGACCCCGCATGGGGTCTGCCTCCCACACAGGCAGATAGGCCAGGCTGGCAGCCACTTCCTTCTGGACCGGCCAGCCCCAGGCCTCAAAGAACGGAGCCAGATTCTTCTGCACTTTTTCGGAGAACTTCTTCACCCACAGGTTCATCTTGCCAGCATTGTCTTTGGGGATGCCGGCGAGCGTCTGGTACTCGGCAAAGAGCTGGGTGAATGGCTCCCACCCGAAGGCCTCCTGGATCTGGGAAGAGAACGAAAGGGCAGGGTGAGGCGTCAGGTCTCCAAAAGTAACTGCAACATGCTTGTTCATAAGGATATTTCATTCACGGTGATGACCGCCTCTTCATCGTTCATTAGCTCCACTCCTGTTCTTTGTCCCTTTCTCCCACCTGAACCCTGTGCATAAATGCAGTCGTTGGCTCGTTCCACCGCTTGGCCACAACACCTGTACCTCCTGAATCTAGCAGGGGACCTCACGGGGACCTAATATCTGAATAGAGGCAAATACTCAGTAAATGACAGCTATTATTATTATTATTGTATGTAATTTAAAAAATGAGGTCTCCAGGTCCTAAGTGTTTCCCCAGGCATGAGACAAGGTTCAGCCTGAGTGAGAAACCCTCACGTCATGCATACAAGGTGGGGACCCCCCAAAAACTGGAATTATCTTCTGGAGGGCAGGCTCTTTGTAGTAGAGGCTTCTCTTGCTAGGTGCGTGTTCTAGGAACCCATGTGTATCAGGTTACCAGCTGGCAGTGTTGTGAGAGGCTGTGTTCGACCTCAGTGAATTTTCTTCAAGACTCATTCAACGTTTTTGCCGATTTCATGATGGGCGATTTACGAGCGCACCCGCCCAAAAATGGCATGACCCCTGTGCCCCACCCTTCCTTTCACCCAATCTCACCCTGAGTTATTTTTGTGTGTTTCCCTGGATGAAAAGTGTCGTCAAATATAAATGTTTTGCTGATGTGGAAGAGGTGAGACAAAAAACACCACAAGCACTAAAAGGCATCGAAATCGACAAGTTCAAACACTGTTTTGAGCAGGTGCATTGCATCCAAAGGAGGGTACTTTGAAGGTGACTGAAGTTTAAACATGTAACAATAAATACACAATATTTTATAGATAAATTCTGTTTTGGGGGGCCCCCCTCATATTTGGGATGATAATGGGGAGAAGAGGACAGTCCGTGGGCTGAGGCGGACAGCGTAGGAGGTCTGCTATGGAGAACAGCTGTTACACCTCGGGAGCATTAACATTCCACGCAGGCCTGGGGGAGGAGACAGGGACTCGTACTTGCTGGTCTCGTCCATTCCTCCTTGTAGTTCTCCCGTAGACACATCACTCTTATTGTGAAGGACAGAGCACTCCCATGACCCATGAAACCAAGGCAGGGGAAAACAAAGCCAAACAAAAGAGTGACCGTTTCTGGGGTGCTGATTAGGGGACCAAGGTTAAAACCAGTGAGGGAAGGGCTGTGATTCAGTCTCAGGGGCGCCTAACGGAGAACCTCTGCTCTTGACCAAAATGCCAACAGGCTGTATTTCTCTCTACTTACTTGTTTCATAACTCTTTTCATTTCCTCTTACTTATGATCACAAAATCACAGAGGCAAGTGGGCCAGGTGTCACTGTCTCCATCTAGAAACGTGTAAGCTGAGAAGAATCACTCTGTGGCCCCCGCCTGCTATGTCCAGGGGAGGTCATGGGCCCAGGCTGGTGGGGGTCATGAAGGATGATACGTGCCGGGGCTGTCTGACGGCCCCACCTCCCCGAATGGCAGCTCGGTACCTGTAGATACGTTTCCAGAGCCGTCCACACGTTCCAGTTATGCAGGGGGGCCCCCTTCGCCAGGTGCTCTTTGATCCTCTTCTCTCGCTGTGGAGGGCTCAGAGCAGGGTGGGCCTGAGCCCTAGGGATACCCAGGACCGTCTCATGCACGTAGACTGACCAGAGGTTGCAGGTGGCCTCGGTGGTGTGCTGGGGGAACTCCCACCCATGCCGCTGCTGGTTGTGGCCCAGCTCATGGATGGGTCCCCACAGACCTCTGCTTTTCATGTTGGTCACACAGATGAGCTCCTGCACCGAATCCAGGTGGCACATGATGGGGTACCCTGCATGCATCCAGCCTGGGAACCCAAGAGGAAGAGATGAGCTCTCGGGGGTAAGGGGCGCACCCAAACCACTCTCCCAACATTCCTCTCCACTGTGTAACTTTTCCTCACCATCCTGGCTGTAGCCAGTAATTCCCAAATTTCTGTGCTGTTTGGAAAGCAGATGGCTGTCCTGACTTGGTCAGAGACTAGAGTCCTTGCCCCCTCCTAGCCTCTCACACTAGCTCTGAAGCACATGAATACACCTTATAACTGTCATTCTTGCCATAATTCCGTGCTTCCTTTGTGTGTGTGAGGCTGTGACATCATGTCTTTGCCTGATTTTAGGATGCTCAAGCTAGAAGAGCGTCATCTCTTGTTCTGTGTAAACCGCGGTTGTCCAGAATGTACTATTTAACAGAGAGAATCTTGTCCTTTTTTAAAGAGGAGAAAAGTGGGGTCCAGAGAAAGATTTTCCACATGAGACCCAGATTTCCTAGTTTTTTTCTTTAGATTCCCTCCTTTCTTCTAAACCACACAGTCCTTAAACCTCTTTACTCCTTCTTTTCATTGCCAACTCTACTTATGCTTGAAGGAAATATTTCTCTTTTGCCTCTCCTTGATACAACCCTCATTGACATCTGTGAAGTCCTGGTGCCATGTTTTTGTGAGTTGTTCTACCAATGGTGTGTAATCTTCCCTTGGAGAGAGGTAGATGATTTACCTTCTGACATGCAAACGTCTTTGCATCCCATCAAGGCCCATGTATTTTATGTCTTTTTACCTTTATTGGTGAAATTATGGCTTACCCACAGCGGACATTAAAAAACGGCGGAATAATGAATGGTGCCCCCCAACTAGGAGCCGTGCCCCGGAGCACCCACCAGCTGAGATCTGCACGTCAGCAACAATCCTCTCAGGACGGAGGAACGGGAAGGGCTGGGCCGCCAGCCTGGCTATCGCCTCCATCATCTCATCCCAGAGGCGGAGCACAGGCCCGGGGTCCTCCAGGGCCCGGAGGCTGGTAGTTGGCACCGTCAAGATGATGTTGTCTGTTGCCAGCTCCCCCCAGGGAGCCGGGCTCTTCTGGGTACAGCTCCTCCACTCCTCCAGGGATGTCTTACCTGGGAGTAAAGATCATGGACCTGTCAGGGACTCCCCCAACTTCCCTTGAGCTGAAAAACACATCTTGACCTCCAGGAGGAGGATGCTGAAATAATGAACTATTGTCACGTGGGGCTCCATGCCATGAAGGGAAGGGCAGGCCTCCGGATGCTTCCTTCGGCTCTACCCTGAAGTCTCTGCACACACGGGGTGTCCAGTTTCTCCATCCTCCACTGCAGCTTTCAAAAGTTCTCCCCCCTCTGTCCACCTGCCCTATCCCTCTCTTCCTGAGCAACCAGCCCCCAACTGCTTCAGCATCCTCAGCGCCCCCCACCCCCCAACACTCAGTCCACTTACCCAGCTTGTAGTACGGGGCGGGCACCGCTCCCTTAATGGTGACAGACATGGGTCCCAGTTTACTGCCTTTGGGCACGATGACATAGAGAAGGCCACCCCAGAGGCAAGAGATTGACTGTTTGGTCGTGTCCATACACCACTGGTAAGTAACCACAGGTGCTCGAGACAGCTTTTTGGCATTCATCAGGTTATCGGTGTGGCAGCCAATCTGTACCTGGAGAGGTGATTTCACCATGTGTGGGAGGAACTAGGTCCCTGTGGTGTGTGTGTGGGGGGTTGTGGCTGATGCTGTGTGGATGAAGGGTATTAGAAAAACTCTGCAAGCTCCAAGAGGATGGCTCAATAGGCAAAAGTTACACTCACCTCCTCCCAGGGCCAAATGAGAATTACATCTAAATTATAGAACAGTCAACATGAATGAATAAAGACTAGCGAACAGAAATCTTATAAACAAGGGTTTACAGAAGAAATCACATTGAGACTGGTAGGGAGGGTGGACATGGGAAAAGGACTGGCCCAATGGCCTCATCCAGCAGTTGTGAATCCCAAAGATAATCTCAGCTGCAAAGGTTCCCCACGAAGAACGATGAGTCTCAGCCCCACCAGGTTCTCCAGCCCAGAGCACCAGTGCTGAGAGGAAGAGCCAACAGAACATGTGGCTATGAAAATCAGAGGGGATTCTGTCCTCCAGGAAGCGACAAGAGACTGCTAGATATCCAGGTGCCCTCTTATACCGCCAGTGCACACACTTTTATTCGTCACTAACCTTGGGTCTCCTAGGAGGAACGGCAGCTCACAGTAGACTGGAATTATAGAAGCAGAGATTGGGTTGTGTCGGTTAGGATAGAGGTCTGGAGGGACAGCCACCAAAGGCCCCATCCTGAGTTCCTGGACTCCTACAGACACCATCTCTCCTGGGCTGAGCACACCCTTCCACATGAATCGGTCTGAGGAAATGCACTAGGTCCATCCTCCCAACTCCCAGAGGTCCTACCATGCTCACACTCTATGGAGGAATCAGCCAGCCGAGGCCATCCTGGGTCTGAGGTGCAGTCTTTATGGAAGGCCCTCGAGGAAGTCCAGGCAGACTAAGTTGTGAGAGCCACTTTCCCCTGGGTGCCTTAACTGGAGCCATGGTTCCTTTGTGGACCCCTCCCTCCACACAGCCAAATCTGTTTAGCCTGGTGAATTTTCCTAGCCTCACCTTGACAACTCCCTGAAACCCTGACCCACCATCAAGTCCCATGGGCCCCCAAAGTGGCGGCTGGCCTTGGTGTTCCCTAAGACTTTTGCTGAGTGGCCTCAGACCCAGCACTGATGCCAACTTTGAATCTGAATCAACCTGGCAAAGACCTCTCACCCATTCCTGGTGCTTCATTGAAAAGCTACCTCATGCAGCTCGTGTACCACCAGAGGCTCATTCATGACTGAGCCAGGCAGGAAAAAGGCCGGTCGAGGTGGATCTTCGAGTGCCTTTGGCCTTTTCCTGAGTTGCCCCCAGGCTTGGTAGTAGTGGAAAGGTGCTTTGGTATAAAGCTTGACCTCCCCCATGTGCATCCGGGCCCAGCAGAGGCAGCCACAAACTGTGGATCACTTTTAACCTCCTAACAGGTAGCCCAGGGCCAGTCACAGGCAGCGTCTGATACTGATCTACCCTGCAGTCCCTCCCAGGAATCCTCCAACATAGCATACCTCTGAGTGTGACCTGATTAGCTCCAAGTGGAACTCCCAAAGGGAAATAATCAGTAGGCACCAGACCCTGTCAGGGTGAATTCTGCTTCGTGGGGTTAGCCCCCACACAGCAGCTCGTACACTGTGATTAGGGTCAATCTTCACATTCAGCCGGACTGAGAGTGAGCCTCACTGAAGGACAGGCCAGCAGTAATCAAGTACATGTTCAGGGAGACTGTGCCACTGAGCCCCACAGGACGCCTATTACATAAGGCTACCCCACCAGGACTGGGAGACGTAGATCTACCTGATACACAGAAATAAATACAGAGAAGCAGCCAAAGTTGACAAAGAAACATGCCGAAACAAAAGAACAAGAGAAACCCCTAGGAAAGAAAAACCTAAATGAAACGAAGGCAAGCAATGTACCAGATACAGACTTTAGAACAATGGTTATAAGGATGCTCAAGGCACTTAGTGAGAACTTCAGCAAAGAAATAGTAACCATGAAAAAGGACATGAAAATGATAAAAGAACCAGTTAGAATTGAAGAATGCCAAATCTGAAATGAAGAATACACTAGAAGGAAACAAGAAAATATTACATGAAGCAGAAGATCGAATCAGCTATTTGGAAGACGAGGTAGCATAAAACACCCAATCGAGCGCAAAAGAGAAAAAGAATTTAAAAATGAGGATAGTTTAAGGGACCTCTGAGAAAACATCAAGGGTAACAGTGTTCACATCATAGGAGTAGCGGAAGGAGAAGAGAGAAAGGGAATGAGAACATATTTGAAGAACTAATGACTGAAAACTTCTCTAATCAGGTGAAGGAAAAAGTACACAAGTCCAGGAAGCACACAGAGTTCCAAAAACATGAGCCCAAAGAGGCCCATACCAAGACAGATCATAATTAAAATGGCAGCATTTAAAGACAAACAATCTTAAAAGCAGCAAGAGAAAGACAGCTACCAGGGAGCACCCATATGCTGTCAGCTGACGTCTGGACAGAAATATTTCAAGCCTGAATGGATTGGCATAAAATATTCAGGGATGAAAAGCAAGGACCTAGAACCAAGACTACCTTTCCCACTGAGGCTATTACTAAAAATTGAAGGAGAAATAAAGAGCTTCTCAGATAAGAAACAGCTCAAGGAATTCATGACCACCTAACCAGTATTACAAGAAATGTTGAAAGGACTTCTTTAAGAAGAAGAAAGAAAAAGAGGAACATCATTACAAAGAATAAAATACCAATAAAAATGTACCTATCAATAATCACTTTAAATGTGAATGGATTAGTTTCTCCAATCAAAAGACACAGGATGGTTTAATGGACAAGAAAACACGACCTGTGTACATGTTGTCTGCAAGGGTCCACTTCAGATCAAATGACAGACATAGATGGAACATACAGGGATGAAGAAAGATTTTTCATGCAAATGGAAATGATAAAAAAAAAGTTAGGGTGCAATGCTTATATCACACAGAATATACTTTAAGGCAAAGGCTCTAATAAGAGCCAAAAAAGATACATTAATTACATAATGCTAAAGGGACCAATCCTACAAGAGGATATAATCCTTGTAAACATTTATGCACTCAAGATAGGAGCACCTATATAGAGAGAGCTAATCTTGATGGACATAAAGGGAGAGATCAACAGTAGTACAGTCCTAGCAGGGGGCTTTAACACCCCGTTGACATCAATGGATATATTTTCCAGACAGAAAGTCAACAAGGAAATAGCAGCCTTAAAAGACCAGGTGGATTTAATTGATATTTTCAGAGCATTTCCTCCCAAAGCAGCAAAATATAAATTCTTATCAAATGCACATGGAACATTTTCCAGTATAGACCACATGTTAGGACACAAAACAAGTCTCAATATAGTTAAGAAGATTGAAATCATTATCAGCCATCTTCTCCACAATGGTAGAAAACTAGAAATCAATTACCAAAAAAACCTGGAAAACACACAAGCGCATCTTACTAGACAATGAATGGGTTAACAATGCCGTCAAGGAAGAAATAAAAAATACACTGAGACAAATGAACATGAAAACACAACAACCCCTAATCTAAGGGACATAGCCCAAGCAGTCCCAAGAGGAAAGTTCCTACGAATAAAGGCCTGTCTCGAGAAATAAGAAAAATCCCCAGTAAACAATCTAACCTCACACGTAAAGGAAGTAGAAAGGATCAACTAAGCAAGCCTAAAGTGATGTGAAGGAAGAAAATAATAAAGATCAGAGCTGAAGTAAATGACATAGAGTCTAAATAAAAATAATACAAAAGATCAGTGAAACCAAGAGCTGGTTCTTTGAAAAGATAAACATGATTGCTAAACCTTTAACCAGACTCCTCAAGAAAAAAAGAGAGAGGACCCAAATAAGTAAAATCTGAAATGAGAGAGGAGAACTGCTCACACCAATCATATTATAAGAAAATATTATGAACAACTATATGCCAACAAACTGGACAATCTGGAAGTAATGGATGAATTCTTAGGAACATGCAATCTTCCAAAACTGAATCAAGAAGAAACAGAAAATCTGAACCAAATATTACAACCAATGAAATTGAAGCAGTAATTTAAAAACTCCACAAAAGCAAAAATCCTGTACCACATGACTTCACAGGTAAATTTTACCAACCATTCCAAGAAAAAATAGCATTTCTCCTGCTCAAACTATTCCAGAAAATTTAAGGGAAGGGAAGACTCCCAAACTCATTTTACAAAGACAACAGTATCCTAATTCCAAAACCAGAGACAGACCTACCAAGAAAGGAAATTATAGGCCAATATCCCTGATGTACATAGATGCAAAAATGCTTACCATAATATTTGCAAACTGAATTCAGCAATACATTAAAAAGAGCACACACCATGATAAAGTGGGATGTATTCCTGGGATGCACGGTTGGTACAAAATATGCAAATCAATTAACATGATAAACCATGTTAAAAAAAGGATAAAATGATGTGATCATATCGACAGATGTAGCAAAAAGCATTTGACAAAATTCAGCATCCATTTATGAAAAAAAAATTCAGCGAAGTGGAAATAGAGGAAACATACCTCAACATTGCAAAGGTCACATGTGACAAACCCACAGCTAACATCAGACTGATTGGGGAAACAAACAAAAGTGTTTCCCTTAAAATCAAGAATGAGACAGGGACGTCTCCTTTCACCACTCTTCTTCAACACAGTACCGAAAGTCCTAGCCACAGGAATCAGAGGAGAATCCAATCCAAATTGGAAAGAAGTAAAATTATCATTATTTGGAGATGACATGACACTGTATTTAGAAAACCCAAATGATTTCACCCCCTCAAAAAAAAACCCCCAAACTACTAGTTCATTGATGAATGAACTCAGTAAAGTAGCAGAATACCAAAATAAATATTCAGAAGTCCGTTCCATTTTTATTTGCCAAGGGAAAACTAAGAAAATAATTCCATTTACAATTGCATGAAGAAAATACCTAGGAATACATTTAGTCAAGGAAATGAAAGACATGTACTTGAAAAATAACAAAACACTGAAGAAAGAAACTGAAGATACAAATAAATGGAAGCAAATTCCATGTTCTTGGATAGGAAGAACTAACATCATTAAAATATCCGTACTTCCTAAAGCAATCTATAGATTCAATGCAATTACTATCGAAACACCAATGGCATTTTTCACAGTACTAGAACATACAATCCAAAAATTCATATGGAACCACAGAAGACCCTGAATAGCTACCGCAATCTTGAGAGAGAAGCCAAAGCTGGAGGTATCGTGGTATTTCGTACCAGGCTATACTATAAGGGATGGTAATTGATACAGTATGGCACTGGCATAAAAACAGCTACATAGATCAGTGGAATAGAATAGAGAGCCCAGAAATAAACACATGCCTATATGCACAGCAGAAGACGCAAGAAGATACGACAGGGCAGAGACAGTCTATTCAATAAATGATGCTGGGAAAATTGGACAGATCCATACAAAAAAACAAAAGCAAAAACAAAAACGACCATCTTCTCACATCATGTACAGGAATACACATATAATGGGTTAGACTTAAATGTAAGACTCCAAACCATAAAGCTCCTAGAAGAAAAAACATGCAGCAAAATCTCTGACATCTCTCTTAGCGATATTTTTTCAGAGACATGTCTTCAGACAAGGAAAACAAAAGAAAATATAATCAAATGTGACTACATCAAACTAAAACATTTTTGCACAGCCAAGAAAACCATCAACGAAATGAAAACACAGCCTACTGAATGGGAGAAGACATTGGCCAATGATACATCCGATAAGGGCTTAATATCAAAAACTTATAAACTACTCATACAACTCAACAGCAAAAAAAAAAAAAACATACAAGCCAATTAAAATATGGGCTGAGGATCTGAACAGACACTTCTCCAAAGAGGACATGCAGATAGCTAATGGGTCAATGAAAAGATGCTCTATGTCACTAATCATCGGAGAAATGCGAATTAAAACCACAATGAGCTATCACCTCACACCTGTCAGAATGGCCATCATCAATAAATGAACAAACAAAAGTTGGCGAAGATGTGGAGAAAAGGAAACCCTCATGCACTGTTAGTGGGAACTCAGGTGCAGCCACTGTGGAAAACAGTATGGAGGTTCCTGAAAAAGATTAAAAATGGAGCTGCCTTATGACCCAAAGTCTTCACTTCTGGGTATATACATATATCTGAAGAAACCCAAAGCACTAATTCAAAAGAATATACACACTCCTATGTTCATTGCAGGATTATTCACAATAGCCAAGATACAGAAGCAACCCAAGTGCCCGTCAGTAGAGGAGCAGGAGCGAAAGTGGTGGTGCATATATCCAGTGGAATATTCCTCGGCCATAAAAAAGAATGAAATCTTACTGTTTGCAGCAGCATACGTGGACCTAGAAGGCACTGTGCTAAGTGAAATGTGTCAGAGTAAAACTAATACCACACAACTTCACTTATGTGTGGAATCTAAAGGAAAAAATAAATGAACAAAATTGAAACAGACACACAGATACAGAGAACAGCCCGATGGTTGCTACGGGGGAGGGGGAGGCTGGGAGACTGGGTGAAATTGGCACTTACACAATACTCACGAGGATGTAAAGTACAGCACAGGGAATATAATCAGCAAATTGTAATCACTGTGTATGGTGCCAGGTGGGTACTTGAATGGTTGGGGAGGATACCATGTATAAAGTATACAATTTTGTAATGGTTGTGCTGTACGCCTGAAACTAATACAAAGCAACACTGAATGTAAACGTAATAGAAAAATAAAAAATAAATTAGAAAAGGGACAAACTCCAGCTTCCCTTTTCTCTGGGCTATGCATGGAACCTATGATATCTTAGCACTCCAAACGTCCCATGGACTGAAAGGCACGTAGACACACTCTCCACAGGGTAGAATAGCTCGTGAGTCTGAGGCTGACTGGGGTCCCGTTTGCCTTCGTACGAGGCAGCACCCCAGGCCCTTCCAGGGAATCCTCGGCCAGCGTGTTGCGTTTGATGCTGGGTATGAGCCCTAGGGGTCCTGTCTGCCCCCTGTTCACGGACAGGAGGCCTGACCCGGCCAGTGGGACCTGGCCCGGGGCGTGAGGGGTGAGTCTGTCCTTCCCTGCCCAGGTGCCCCTCCTGGTCTGACTGGCCGAGTCCTCCTTTGTTTGGGGTCCTGCACTTGCTTTGCCCTGGTTTAGCGCGCGTGAGCTCCAGAAAGGAGCCTGGCAAAAGAGAGACCCTGTCTGCGGAAGGAAGTGACCCTCAGAACTGAGGTGGGCGGAATTTAGGTTCTGTGTGTGGGGCCTACGTTTATGGGTGACCAGAATAAGTATGCCCTTCAGGTGTCAAGGTAGAGGGGCAAAACCCAGGGAGCCGGCGCGCTGTGGAGAAATGAGTGCGGCTGGGAATGTGCAACGGGCCCCGCTTCTCACACTTGCTGTCTCTGCACATCCCTGTTGGGAGGCAAAGCGCACCACACGCGGAAATCGCAGGCTTAGTCTGAGTACCGGACCTGATGTTAGCGCTCCGGTGCCGTCACTCACTGGGTCAGGCCCCCCGAAACTTAGCCCCCTGAAACCTGTCCTGTGCAATCTGTGAAATGGGCAGACTAAGCAGCCCCCTCACTTCCTGTGCTCCCGTGGCCACCACCGTGGCTGGTGACAATGGAGCAGCCCTGAGGTTTTGGGATGTGGGCAGTGGGTGTTTGGCCTTACCCTCAGGCCGGCACGGACCACAGCTTCAGACAGCGAGACTTCTGCTTTCTGTCCATTTAGGATGTAGAGCCCAGTACTCACCCAGGACTCACCATTGCCTGAAAAAAGCCATAGGGAGGCTGGTTTCCTCCCCTACCTGGAGGCTCACCGCCCCTCCCACAGGTGCAGGTCCTGCACTGCAGATCTTAACTCACCCAGGCCTCTTGCCCGCATCCCTCCTAAACCCTAGGCACAGCCCAACCCGACTTCTGAAAGTAGCGGATAGGGAATGGAGTGCCTGCTAACCCCACCTTCCCTGGGGCCTGCCAAGCTCCCAGCACTCTCCCCTCATTCCACACCTGGGTTGTTTCCGTCGATGTCCACCGTGATGGGGTCTTCTGAGGGGCAGGTCCCGGTCCCCAGCCCCTGCACCAGCTTGGAGCAGTCAGTCCCAGAGCAGGCCAGCTGCGTGGCCAAGTGGAGCACTACTGCCTCATTCGAATCACTGGCCACGGGGTTTTCCCGGCTCACAGCAGGGAGCCAGCACAACTGCAGCATCTTACTTATAATTCGGCGCACGGACATGTAGGCAGGGTTCCCCTCTGCAGGGATCTGCAGGAAGGCAGCCCCATCAGCTCCCAGTTTTGCCAGCCAGTTCTTGTCCAGCTTCCCACCCGAGTGGTTCATGTCAGCCTGGAATTCCGACAGTGCCTTGCGGAAGTGGTAGCTCAACATCTGGGGGGTGGGGACAGGGAAACGGCCTGGTTTGAGAGTCTGAGGTAGGATGCTGAGGCCGAGGCAGTTGAGGATGACGTTACCAGGGAAAACAGTGAACACGGAGCAGCCCGGGTTCTTGGAGGCCCACCACCAGGCGTGGCCCCCGATCAGCAAGCCCCCGCCCTCAGCCACAAACTCCTGCAGCTGCTTCGCCTCTGTGTCACTGTAAGCATTACAGCAGTAGACGGCCAAGCCACCCGTCAGACGGGGCTCCAGGCTGTATTCCAGGCCATGCCCCGACAGCAGGGCACACAGGTTTTTTAGACTCGTGTGCACCCCAACCTTGCCCGTGTGGCCTCTGGCCAGCCAGCGCACAGCATTCAGCAAAAAGGGCCCCAAGTTAGGAGCAGAGAGCATGCCCTCGTGGGCAGCCAGGACCACCCGGCCCCGGCCATAGTGGGCGGCGGCCAGGAAGCAGCCAAGTGAGGCATCTAACGCCAGGGGGAAGGCCAGCGCCCCGTGCACCAGCAGCTGCGAGGGGATTCCTATGTCCCTGATGTCCAGCTCTGAGATCCCTTCCAGGAGCTGGTGCTGGTCCTGCCGGACGTACTCCCCATACCTGGAAATTGACACGGAGGAGAAAGGGTGACAGTCAGTCAATGGACCACAGAAATGAGCTCGCTGAATAGAGAAATCTATGTGTGGGTACAAAGATTACATAGTTCATGCCAGTATCCTCATTCTTACTGATAATATTTAGGATTTCAGTATTTAACACCATTCGTTTTTTTCACATCTAAGGCATATCACTGTTTAATTGGATTTGTTTGCTCTTTCTTAGTAACACATAAAATAATGAAACTTCCCATAATCCATGTTGTCATAGATTTGATGAAATACTGAAGAGTGAGGTAGTGGCCTTATTTGCACATCTCACAATCCACGTTCTCCAAATGAATTCTTCGCGTGTCAGTCAGCTGAGTGTGGAGAGTGTGGCTTGAATGTCCTATCTTTTCAAGTAGTTAAACATTTGAATGAATTAAATGCAAAGCAATGTCTGTTATTTCTGGAGAAAGTAGTCCTGCTTACACATAATCTCAGGGCTAATTTTCTGTAAAGGGGTACTGTAAAAAACACCAAACTGCCCTCGCCTTACACTGGCTCTGACCTAGGAACACATTATAAGTAAATTGCTTAACATTATACCTGAAGATTTATACAAACACACAGTCTTTTTAAAAGACATTCTCACTTAAATCCGATGAAGTATTTACTACTTTTTATTGAGAAATGTTCAGAACGTACTGAATTCAGATAAGGTTTTTTATTCCAGGATCTATCTTTCTTTTCTTTTTTAAAAAACCAATTAGTAGATATTCTAAATGTCAAACAACAGGTAACTGGTTACGTTATGGTTAACCCTAGATAGCATACATACCATGTGGTAATTAAGATAATAATTAGATAATGCAAAATGCTTAGTGAAAAAGTTTTTAAAAAATCAGATTCCCAGATACTGTGCATTAAATTAGCCATGTTTTGCAACACACACAAGACACCAAAAGCAAAACCGATAAAAACACACAAAACCAGACTCAGGCACAGGATTTCAAGCATAGTTATCAAAACGTCCTCATCGCCGGTACCTCAGAATGTGACCTTATTTGGAAATGCGGTCATTGCAGAGGTAATTGGCTAAGTTAGGGTAAGGTCGTACTGGAGCAGGGTGGGCCCCTACTCTGATGTGATTGGTGTCCTCATCAAAGGGGAAATTTGGACACAAAAAGCCCACAGGGAGAAAACCAGGTGAACCAGGAAGGCAGGGATCAGGGTGATGTCGCTACAAGCCGAGTATGGCCAACACGCCGCCAGAAGCCAGGAGAGGCCCAGAACAAGTTCCCCTCGCCGCCCTCCCGAGGAACCAGCTCTGCCGATGCCTTGATCTCAGAGCTGTAGCTTCCGACTACGAGACGATACATTTCTGTGGTTTAAGCGACCCAGTCTGTGGCACTTTGGTACAGCAGCCCGACAAGCTAATAGTCATGATTCTGAAAACTGATCCTCAGTCAGACACTTTAGGTGCAAGTGATACGTAACACTGGCCTGGAAGTTTCCTAACGCTCTTGGACTTAGTTTTAAAAACGCTGATGCCAAATCAGAAAGTTACTCAGGGGCAGGACCACATCTTTTATGTCTCTGGTTCCAACCGCACGCAGTTCTGTGGCCGGTGGGGAGGTACCATCTATCTCTAGACAGCAAGGCATGCCACAGGCATCAGGGGACTTCGGGGGTGCAACGATGCAAAGTAACGTGCAACAGGGTGAGATGAGCCGGCTGAGCTGCACCGCCTCTTATGAGCGCGCCTCAGCCGCCTCTCGGTGTTGTCGGTATGCGGTAAATCATTCTGTAGTAAATGCTTAGGACAGCGCCTGGCACAGTTCTGACATTTTAAACAAGGTGATTGGGATGGACCGCACAGGATGCGACATTTGAGCCCCGAGTTATAGAAGTTGAGTTAGTCGGCCACTCTCATTTCAGGTAAAGGACCAGGTCGGGCTGCGGAATCCAGCGCTGAGGCCTCTGGGAAGAGTGTGCGGTGCAGAAAGGAGGCCTGTGTAGAATCTAGCGGGGGGAATCGCCACCAGAGCGGCATGGGGAGGCCAGGTAACTCTCCACAGATAAGGGCGATGATAGCGACTCCATGTCTATTTACCAACACTTAAGTCTTACATAACATCTACTAATAGCATTTAAGTCTGGATAATAACATAATAAAAGTAGTTCTTATTTAAGGAGATTTACTATATGATATGTATTTAGATATAGGATTATCTTTTTAAATCATTATAATCAACCTGAAAGGTATTATTCTTGCTTTATAAATGAGACTTAGGAAAGTGAGACAATTCACACTATATTTCTTGGCTAATAACTGGCAAGGACAGGAATCAAATCCATCCAGGGTTGTGTGATCGACAGCCAGTGTCATCGACACACCAGAAATCTGTCATCAATTACCGAGTCTTCGCATGAAGCCCACAGCTGGGTGTGTGGCAGTCAACAGGTGTATTTTGTGCAAAAGAGGTGTTAAATAGACACGAAGGTGCAAATAATACTGCATTTATGAATAAGGGAAAGCATGTTCCTTCCAAGCTGGAAGGGCAGGGGGACGGCACAGAGGAAGACACAAGGGAGAGATGGTGATATTTAGGCAATACACCAAAACACACCGGAGCTCACAGGTGATATGGGTGGCGGCTTTCTGAATGCCACTTAATAAACTGTCATAGCAGTGCCAGCAATGGTCAGAAAGCTCAGGGTGAACTGCTTTCATTGTGACCACATGTTGGACTCGTCTAATCCTGTCGTAGCAAACTGACTAATTTTACTTAAGGTGCTTGGTCCTCAATTTTTCTTTACTCTGAAGTTCCTTTTTCTCATTCTGTCTCTCATTATATTTAACATATTTTTTTTAGGAAGTTCTTTTGTAGCTTTTTTATGCTTCCTGAGAATTCTGCTTCTGTTGACTGGGTGACCTTTTTCTTCCAGGTTTGGCCGATTCTGTTGTCTTTCCATATTACATCTGTCTCTCTTGTATTTCCCTTTTAAAACTATAGCCATTGGATGTGGTTACTATATGGATATTTTTCACAACTAGGGTAGGCAGACCTTTTGCAGGTCCCAGTATAGTGTAGGTGACTTGTGACGTTATAAGTCACCTAGGACCAGTTTGTTCTGTACACACATCTATCTACCTTCTCAAATTATATTGAGGTCTGTATATTGCTTCTTTCCACTTTTAAAAAAAAAGTATGTGCCCCACCTACCACCACCTCCAACCCTCAATCCTGCCCCACTTTGACTTTGTCCATGGGTCCTTTATACATGGGTTCCTTGATTTGACCTTTTCCCTTTTTCCTTGTGACCCCCTCCCTCCTTCCCTCACATTACTGTCGGTTTCTTTTTTTCTTTCAATGTTGCTAGTTATATTTTCCTCACTTGTTTGTTTTCTTGACTAGGTTCCACTTATAGTTGAGATTTTATGGTATTTGTCTTTTACCCCCTGGCTTATTGCACTTAGCATAATGCTCTCCAGTTCCATCCATGCCGTTGCGAAGGGTAGTAGTGCTTTCTTTCCTTCTGCTGCATAGTATCCCATTGTGTAAATGTACCATAGTTTTTTGAGCCACTTATTTATTGATCGGGACTTGTGCTGCTTCCAACACATGGCTATTGTAAATTGTGCTATGAGCATTGGAGTGCATAGGTTCTTTTGGATTGGTGTTTTGACACTCTTAGGGTATAATCCCAGCAGTGGAATTGCTGGGTCAAAAGGCAGTTCCACTTTTAGCTTTTGTAGGAAATTCCACACTGTTTTCCACAGTGGCTACACCAGTCTGCATTCCCACCAATAGTGTACTAGGGTTCCTTTTTCTCCACAACCTCGCCAGCACTTTTTTCTTGTTGATTTGTTTGTGATGGCCATTCGGACTGGTGTGAAGAGTGGTATCTCATTGTGGTTTTAATTTGCATTTCTCTGATGGCTAGTGATGCTTAGCATTTTTTCGTATGTCCCTGAGCCCTGTGTATGCCCTCCTTGGAGAAGTGTCTGTTCAGGTCCTTTGCCCATTTTTTAATTGGATTGTATATCTTCGTGTAGTGGAGTCATCTTAGTTCTTTGTATATTTTGGAGATCAAACCCCTGTCTGAGGTATCATTGGCAAGTATATTTTCCCATATGGTTGATTCCCTTTTCATTTTGCTGATGTTTTCTTTAGCCGTGCAGAAGCTTCTTATTTTGATGAAGTCCCATGTGTTTATTCTTTCCTTTATGTCCCTTGCTCTACAGGACATATCGGTGAAAATATTCCTGGGTGGAATATCTGAGATCTTTCTGCCTATGTTTTCCTCTAGGACTTTGATGGTGTCACAACTTTGATTTAAGTCTTTTATCCATCTTGAGTTTATTTTTGTGTATGGTGTCAGTTGGTGGTCAAATTTCAACTTTTTGCATGTAGCTGTCCAGCTCTCCCAACATCATTTGTTGAAGAGGCTATTTTTATTCGATTTTGTGCTTCTGCCCCCTTTGTTGAATATTAATTGACCATAGAGACATAGGTTTATTTCTGGGCTCTCTATCCTGTTCCACTGATCTATGTGTCTGTTCTTGTGCCAGTACCAGACTGTTTTCATTACAGTGGCCTGGTAATATAGTTTGATGTCAGGTATCGTGATGCCTCCTACTTTGTTCCTCTTTCTCAGAATTGCTGCAGCCATTCAGAGTCATTTATGGTTCCATATAAATGTTTTAAATGTTTGTTCTATATCTGTGAAATACATCATTGGTATTTTAATAGGGATTGCATTGAATCTATAAATTTCTTTGGGTAGTATGGACATTTCGATGATATTAATTCTTCCAATCCGTGAACATGGTATATGCTTCTATTTATTTGTGTCTTCCTTAATTTCTTTCTTCAATGTTGTATAGTTTTCTGTGTACAGGTATTTTACTTCCTTGGTTAAGTTTACTCCTAGGTACTTTAGTTTTCTTGTTGCTATAGCAAATGGGATTTTTTTTTTCCTGATTTCTGATTCTGATATTTCATTGTTGGTGTACAAAAATGCCTTCAATTTCTCAATATTGACTTTGTATCACACTGTTCTGCCAAATTCACTTATTAGGTTGAGTAGTTTTTTGGTGGAGTCTAGGGGGCTTTCTATGTACATTATCATGTCATCTGCAAACAATGACAGTTTAACTTCCTGCTTTCCAATTTGGATGCCTTTTCTTTTCCTTGTCTGATTGCTCTGACTAGGACTTCCAATACTATGTTGACTAGAAGTGGTGAAAGCGGACAACCTTGTCTTGTTCCTGATCTTAGAGGGAAAGCCTTTAGTTTTTGCCTGATGAGTATGGTGTTGGCTGTAGGTTTTTCATATATGGCCTTTATTATGTTGAGGTATGCCTCCTTTATTCCCGCTTTGCTGAGTGTTTTTATCGTAAATGGACGCTCTACCTTATCAAATGCTTTTTTTACATCTACTGATATGATCATGTGGTTCTTGTCTTTCCTTTTGTTTATGTGATGTATTACATTTATTGATTTGTGAATATTGAACCATCCTTGCATACTTGGGATGAATCCCACTTGATAATGGTGGATGATCTTTTTAATGTATTACTGGATATAGTTTGCCAATTTTTTGTTGAGGAATTTAGCATCTATGTTCGTTAGCAATACTGGCCTGTAGTTTTCTTTCTTTGTTGTTGCTTCTTTCCACTTTCTTATCACCTGAAATTCATAGCACTAACTGAAGGGCAAAGACCAGCTGGGCCTGGGACTGTTGTTGCTGGGGTCTGGTCCCTCCACCAACCCATGGAGAGCACTTGATGGGTTCAACCCACCACCGTGCTTGGGAGTGGGCAAACTCAGCATCCCTTCTGCGTCCACCAAATCCTGAAATCACTGCTGCTTTTACACTTGAGGGCTGTTTCTTCTTAAATGTCTACTCACCCAACTTGTTCATTCTCCTACAACATGAGAGGGGATGGATGCCCATTCTCGGATTGGTGGCTTCCAGTTTTCTTCTTTTAGTCGTGTACCTGGGGTGGAGATGGTGTCAGGAGAGGCTGTATACTGGGTCTCACATCAGTCACCGCCTCTCCGCTGGCCAGTCGGTGCTCAGCAACGTAGGCACCAGCACCAGAGCCTCCAATTTCACCGGCTTACTTATTATTTTTCACTCATTTGGTCAGATTTGGTAGAGAGGGCGATTCCAGGATCTAGCCTTGTTTCATGCAGTCTTTACCTGGAGACACTACATTTATGGATCTTGAACAGGAAAACAGACCTGTGCTGCTTACAAGCCGGGGGTCCTGAGGCGAAGACTTTGCTCTCTAGGGGACTGTGGTGAAGAACGAATAAGGTGACATGTAATCTTGTGATGCATAAGCCTAAGCCACTAATACATATTTACTTTTCGGTGAGCGGATCCTGATATTAATATGTTCCAGACCTCGTAGGGTACACAAGGTATAAAGATAATTAGCTATGGATCAGATATTAATATTTTCTCCAGACTATTCTGTGTCTTGCCACTAAAGCTGCAAGCGCCTCTGGATCTGAATTGGCTTATAAAAGCAACATCGGTGTACCCCTCAGGCACGTACACAGCTGTGCAGTCGGCTCTTGCCTTTGGGGATGGGACAAGGGAGAGGACCTTCTGTTGGCTTTTGGGAGGGGCCCGCCCCTCCCTGGGGTGGAGAGAGCGACTCTTGGAAGGAGCTCCTGAGCTGTCAGCAGAAAGGCGAAGTTAGCAAACCTGCTGGGTCAGTTCAGGAGCCTCTAACTAGGATTTGCTCATATGAAAGTTCACTGCAAAACCCCAGAGGGTATGACTTGTGAAGGAGGCCAGAATCTGAACGGAGGGCTGGAGGTCGGTAGGAGGGGCCCTTAGACCTCGGGGACTACCAGCTCGGTCCACTCCGGGAGCTTTCGGCTGAGGCTGGCCGTCTCCGAGACGCGGCTGCCCCGGCCATGCAGTCCATGAGGCTGTCTGTCGAGCTCACGCTGGTATTCTAGGCCACCCTTCTCTTGTGTGGTTTGGGGTGGGTAGTCATTCGTATATGTGTTCATTCATTTCTATCGTCTACAGACACGGGTTGCTGTCTAGCACCATCAGGCACTGAGAGCAGGGCTGCAGACCGGACGGGCAACATCACTGCGTTCATGGGGCTTTGCACGTGGGTTGGCTGCTCGGGCACTCGCGAGCACACGGAGGATAGTTACCGAATGTGATTGCTGATCGTTAGGGAATAAGTGGAGACTTTGTGGTAAAGACAACGGGAGCTCAGTCCTAGTTTCAAGGGTGTCACTGGGGAAGACTCCCCGTAGGGACACATTACTCACCTGTCCTGGAGTGGGATCTTGGGCACCTTCTTCGAGACTTTGTAAAGGCCACTGTTCCCAAAGGTGTCGGTGAAGTACACTCCTGCCACACTGGTCACCTGATTCCCGGGGAACGAGGACAGCACCTTGTCATGGCCGTGCTTACTGGCCCAATACCAGGCCTGACCCCCGATGAGCAAGCCCCCGCCACGTTTCACAAACTGGATCAGCTCCGCAGTCAGGGTTTCATTGTAGGCGTTGGTGCAGTACACCCCCGCGGAGTCTCCCGGGGCTGGCTGAACCCATGCCGCAACCCCGGAGCCCTTCAGGGTGTTCACTAGTGGGTGCACAGAGGTGTGCACTCCCACGGGAGCCCCCGGAGAGGGGCGCAGCCAGGCCACAGCGTTGAGAACGAACGGGGCCAAGCCGGCAGCCAGCAGGTAGGCCTCGTGGGACACCACCACCAGGCGGCCTCGGCCGTAGGAGGACGCGGCGATGAGCACCTGGCCCTTGTCGTTCACCATCACTGGGAAGGCGGCCTCTCCAATGAGAAGCAGTTCACACGGGACGGGGCCTTTGGGGACATCCCAGCTGGTCACTCCATTCATAAGGGCCTCAAAGGCAGCTGCGGGAGTTGTCGCCATGCTCAGCCAGCTACTGCAGAGGACAGCAAAGAAGCAGCGAGTCAGAGCAGGTGGGGCAGTGAGTGGTTACACAAAGGACTGATGCATCCAGACCGCTTCTTGGGTCCCCACTGGGTGCCAGCACTGGGGGTGCAGCTAGGAAGCCAACAGACAAGGTTCCCGCTTTCCTGAATCAAGTAGTTTAGAAGGGGAAGGGCCACAAATAAATAGGGAGACAAACAGATCAATACAATGCAGCAGTCATTGCAGTAACTTATGATGAGAATGTGTACTCAAGCGTCCGGAACACTACTTTGGACTCGGTGACTGGGAAGGCATATATGAGACAGTGGCATTGAAGCTGAAACCAGACATAGAAGCTGAGACCTGAGGCGCTGCAGGAGAAGAGCGGTCCCACAGAAAGAAGCGGGCAGGGAGGAGCCGGGCCGGGGTGGAGTGGCGAGGGGCCCCCCTGCGGGGCCCAGTGGGTCGATGTGACGGGGGGATGTGCAGGAGCTGACTTAGGGTTTCATTTCTCTGGACAAAAAGGCCGGGTGACCGTTCAGAAACTGCCTGTGTTCTGCCAGCTTCGAGTGGACGAGCTGGGAACGCCTCCCGATTTATCCTGTCTGACTGGGGGGTTCGCCACCTCCATTTCGGGGAACACTGAACTCATTATACCCTCAAAGCAGCTCCTCTTGGAGAAATTAGTTAAGCCTCAGTTTCCCTATTTGGAAAAAGCATCGTGCACCTCCTAGGGGGTTGTTTCTGAAGATTAAGAGAATGCCTGTAAAAACGCCTTGTCCTGGGCTGGGTGGGAACACACAGCGAGCAGTGAGCAAACGTGTCCCTCTGCCGCCCTTTGTAGCTTCCCCAAGTGACAAGGGGGGGTATAGCAGACATTCCGGGTGCCGGTGCCACGCCTGCTCGGCCCACTTCTGACTTCAGTGTCTGCCTCGATGCCTCCCGGAGTCCCCTGGGGTCCTCGGAGGGGCCGAGCCCCAGCGGCCCACAGCGGAGAACAGCCCAGCGACGTGTCCTTCACTGCCTTTCCCTCCTTCCCTGTCTCCTCCTCCCGCTTCCTCACTCCGAGCCCTGGGCTCAATTCTGAAACAAACTACCTGCGCTCAAGTCCTTCTCCCAGGCTTTGCTCTGGGAGAGAACCTGATCTAAGACAGATACCGCAGCCCTCGCTGCCCTGGCCACCTTCTTCCCTCCCTGCTGTTTCCCAGTGAAGTAGCCACCTCATTGGCCCCCTTCCTTCTTCCTCAAGCCACCCTTCGCCCCTCTCTCCCTCAGGAGAGCCCTCCAATTTCATCCACCGCCCACAAGGCTAAAGCTGAGTGCCTCCCTCTGGATTTTCAGGCCTCCAGGGTCTGGGCTCTCCATTGTTTCCTGCACTTATTCCTGCTCTGTTAGTTCTCTGAGAAATCTCTGGTTGGCTTGACCTGTATTTCCTATAATGTACGCACCCCGTCCCCCCGCCCCCCGCCGCCCCACCCCGCAGGCATTTTTAAAAATCTACCACTTCTTTCTCGGTGCTGCTCCAAGGACAGTGAATTCACCAAGAGAGCCGTTCCCCAGCTGAAGCCAGGAGTGCACGGTGCGCATCCCAGTCTTGGGTTTCCATAGTGGGAAAGGCAGGAGAGAGGTCAGGTACCTGAGGTCAGGGTCCTGCTAATTACCTCTGAGAGGACAAGGGAAATCCTTCCCCAATCTGGGCAGCCCTAGTGTCAGGGAAAAACAAACACAAAGTCCAAGAAAAGAGCAATATATTCTCAGAACTCTCACTGCAGCTCTCTAGACCTAAGTGGGCGCACACCCATCTTCAAATTCTCAACAAGGTCAAGAGGCGATAGAAAAGTGTTTTGACACACCTAGTAAGAGCGTCCGGCTGGCAAAACAAAACGAATTTAAAACCTGATGGTAGGAAGCGACAGACACGTTGACTGAGGAGAGGCTCTGGGGCTTGCGTCTGGCACCTGGGGGCGCACAGTGCAGGGGTCGGCTCACTCACCGCGAGCTCGGTTTGGAAACCTCACGCTCAGGTCTTCTGGGTCCGTGGCAGTGGCTCCTGCCGGCTCAGGGGCTAATGTAGGGGTGGCCAGCGGAGCAGGAAGGGCGGGACAGGGAGGGACGGCCCTGGAGCCACCTCCCCTTGTTCCCTCCCCTGACCGGCGCACCAGGGGCGTTGTCGTGGAGATCCGGGTCTGGCGAACCCGGATCTCCTATCTCCCCCGATGGGTCCAGGAGTGCGAGAGAGCGCTCTGCAAAGTTGCTCTCACGCTGGGTGAGGAACGCACACGCCAAGTCTCCAGTAAACCACATTGGAAGCACTCAGTGCCCCATCAACAACATTAACTCACGTCCCCTCGGTCCCGTGGTGCAGCGACTCAGATCCACCGCTGCCCCCTAACGCAGCTCCGGGTTCGAGGGCCTGCCCCCTGGTGGTCAGCACTGGTCATGCAACCTGTGCTGGCGGCTGTTCGCGGTGTCCCAGGGAGTTCAGCGAGAGAACTGGGCCTTGCATTATACATGAGTCATGCCCAGTGATTCTGCTGCTGGGAAGGAAACGTGCCCGTTGCATTTCCGAACAGACACGTCCGTGCCTGGCTGCAGACATTACAGCTGAAGCTATAGCGTGGCTGCTACTGGAAATTCACCTAAGAGGGGTGGGAAGGTGAAAATCAAGGTGGGAGAGCACCAGGAGATGGGCTGCGAATCTGATTTTGCACAGCTTTGTGCAGCAGATACACTGTTTTTGCTTTGATGCAGCTTTATTTTGTTTTGCTCTCAGGGGGAGAGAGAGGATACAGGCAGTCGTATGGAGGTGTTATGACTTGAGGGTGATCATGGAGAAGGGGGTTTTAGGTCCCTTTTTTTCTAAAGCCCCCTTGGGGGCTTCATTGGTTTTACATGTGAATCATTGCACTGTTTATCAAGTTATCAGTTGTACCTATTTTCATAGAAAAGGTTCTTGACCGTCTCTTCATCAGCATCGTTTAAAAAGCGTCAGCAGTTACTCCCCAGACGTGTAGCGGACTCTTCACTCCCATTCTCTCTTCTGTCTGGAGGTTTGTCGAGGCCGATGGCTTGACCACAGCAGGGCCCATTCTATTTGTAAAACAGAGAGCGTCTCCTCCAGCATAGGGCTGTCCAGTCCCTCTCGTTTTTGTGTTTTCGTTTGTTATCTCCTGCTGATTTCTTTCCTGGGCTAAAATATGCCTTGGTTAAACTCCCTGTCATGCCGGAGTATAGCCCATGCCGCCTCTCCCTCATGGCCCACCCTCTCCCTTGCCAGATCCAGGTCAGGCCTCGGCAATACAGCTTCAACTCTACAGGGCACATTTTCAACCTCCTTGAAGTCACTTAATTAGTTCCTTGAATGAAGCAATACTGTAGAACCTCGTTCCTGATTTTCCTGTCCACAGTCTGCATTTTTAGTGACCTCACCGCTTATGTTATAACACTCTAGCCATGCTTCGCATCCTTGGCTATGTCCACCCCTTTTCTTGATTAGTAGCAGGGAGGTGCTTAAGCTTCATGACAAAGTGTCAACCCTCCTCTAAAATGTCATCTTCTAAGTCTTTTAACTAGTGTACCCTTGTTTGTGTAGTATGGCTGCCTACTTATTCCAGTTTCGCCCCTTCTGCGGGCTTCCTTTCTGACCAGACACCTACCAACTCCAAGTGAGTTCCCACAGATGCTTAATAATAATTGTTCTTTTGCTGGTGAAATTGCCAAAAATCTCTTCCAACCAACCTTCTTCTGTTTTCCTCAAGCTTACTTCTGCTCACTTTATTCTTAAACAGATATTTCTTACTGACTACTGCTATTGGTGCTCCTTCTAATCCCACCACTACCTCTGTCGTAGCGTAGGAAGTTCCCGGAACACAGTAAACACTCAAGAAATGTTTGCCGCTGTTCTTGCTACCAGTATCGTTACGTCTCCTAGGATCACCACAAGTCAAACAACTGCTGCGTGTTAAGCCTTGTGCCAAGCGTTTTACATATCTAATCTCTTTGGATTTAATGCACTTTTACTGAGTATGTTGTGAGCATTCAAGAGCATTCAATCCTTAGGTTTTTCACATTGATTGCCTTAGAACTTGAGCTCTCCTCTTGCTTTTCTAATCTCAGAAGGAGATTAGGAATCTCTTACTCTCTGAGGCGAACACTTGGAGGCACATCTCCATCCCCTCCCCCTTTCCGTCGCTTCCAAAACCGTGTTCCCCCGGTGTCTGCCTCCCCAGATGCGTCAGCCTCTCTCTTTCCACTGGCTCCTTTCTCTGCCCTCAAGGATGCCCAGGTCTGCCGGACTTGAGTGGAAACCTCCATGTTTGAACTTTTTTCTGTAAAACATTCTGTTGCCATTTTCTTCTTCCCGTCATTGTACACATTCCCGGGTAAGTCTTTTGTTTGTTTTGTTTGTTTTCCTTTTTCACTGTATGGTTTTTTCTTGTGTGAATTCTCTGTTCCTGAAACCCACCTCTGTCATTTGTGAATCAGTCATGGTCCGTCATGATTTCTTAGTCACCAAAACCCTCTTCTAACTACTTAATCTCCATGGATTTTTCTAGTGCATTTTGCCCTTTTGACCACTGTATCCTTGGAACTCTGCCTTCTTTGGTTTTTATGAGAGGGCGCACTCTCGATCCCCTTCCGCCCTTCTGCACACGTTCCCGGGCGTCTCCGAGCCCCTCTGGGGCCAGATGGTGAGCATCATGTGAGGGCGCCATCTGAGGGAGCTTGGAAGCAGAGCACGCGCAGAAGGTCAAGGTTGGGGCAGACGCAGGGTCAGTATCACATTGTCAGAGAGAAATCCGGAGGACACCAAACGGCAGGGAGAGGCAGAGGGTTCCCATTTCTGGCATCGGTTGGCAGCTGAGACAGCTGCAGTCGTAGGTGAACTATTATGAGTGCCTGGGTGCAACTAGTCAGAGCATTTACAAAAACCGATGGAGCCGGAGCAAGAAAGGGCAGAAGGTGCAGGTGGCGGTTGCATGGGACGGCAGGGAAGCCGGTCGGTTGGTGGGCAGAAGCGCAGATGGACAGCAGTTAAAAAAGACAGAGAAGAGCCTTGGCTCCATTTACTTAGCTGCTAGCGATGGCAGCTCATCCTGGGCCAGCCTTGCTCAGAGGGCCGGGGTGATGGAGGCCGGAAGCGGCAGGCTGGGTGACCGCGAGCGCGAGGCGAGGACCGGCTGCCGATGGTTGGCAGTGGAGTGACTAGAACCAGGTAGAGGCTCAGATCTGAAGAGCAAGGCCCTTGGACCATCATTATCCTTCCTCTTTAATAAACATCAGTCATCCACACAGTGCATAGCGTTTTACGAGAGAAATTTCCATATTCTACAGTATAAAGAGAGGGAGTAGCGCAGGAAGTCCCCGTGCATCTATTATCTAATTGAGCAATTACCAACATTTTGTCAGTCTTGTCGAATCTGTCTTTGCCCCACAGCACTTGGCCTTTTGTTTTTGTTGCCACACTTTAAAGGAAATCCAAAACATCCCATTATTTTACCCACAGGTAACTCAGTGCGTTCACTGGTTCTGTGTTGAAGCACCTGCGCGCAGCGGCGCACGTTCTGCCTTTGCACCGTGATGCCTGTGCTTCTCAGTTATGGTGCTCGAGGGCCGGGCGAGTCTCAAAGGAGAGCAGTGGCCTGAAGAAGAGAAAGCCTGTCGGGTCTGCACATGGATGTGATAATGACTCTGGGACTAGTGTCCTTTGTTTCCTTTAAGTTTTGTGGCTCCGAGAGTCACCCCCCCTACGGACCGGACCTCATTCCTTAAATTAAAGCAGGACCTTTCTTTTCTTTTTTAGGCAGTCAGCTTGGTCTTTAACATTGAGATTTATATTTTGGGTAAAAAGGATTTTGCCATTTGCAAGTCTTTGAGCTAGTCCAATAGGCCACTTAGAATCATTATTATAATCAACCAGAATTATTAAGTATCTAACCCTGGGAGATACATACCTAAGTACTGCAGATACATGGACCAACCTAGTAGGAGAGATACAGAGGGATGGAAACATAATTAACAACACGGTGCCATATATAGGGATCCACGAAACAGTACGAAATGTAGGTGTGCTCAGTGATTACAGTGAGCCAGCCGTAGAGATCAGACATCGGGATATGTAATTTAATAAAGACGTTTTTCTAACATGGACTTACTTATAACGAGAATCGCTCAAAATCACATTTCCTGCTATAGCGAATTGTTTTTATTAAGAATGAAAAGTCACATACGATCAGGGCCAGGTAGACAACCTGGCGCGTGCGGCTTCTGTCGCAGGGCTCCGAGTCCGGAGCTCCCAGCAGGCCTCCGGTGCTCGGAGAAGGATGGCGTCAAACCCAAAGGCATGACGTGGTTCCACACGGTCAGGAGCCAATTTAAGTTCCACGAGGGATTCGTACAGGGCAGTCGTGGGAAGTAATTTCCGGAAGGGACACGGAGGTGAGGTGGCGGATGCCCTCACCTGTGTTTCTTGGAACAGTAGTGCCAGTCAGATGTCCCTGAGCTTTCACTGGAAAAAGTGTTCTGTGGTCAAACGCATTTTGAAAAATGCTGGTTTTCAAATAAGTTTCAGGTCTCACCACATATTCAGGCTCTTAGCAAAGTGCCTGTAAATGGAGAAGAGGTGATAGTTGGTTGCTTCTTTTTCTACCCTTTTTTCTTAAATAAAGCCTCTATTAACATCCAGGGAGCATGGCATTTCTCAGCACACAGTTTAGGAAACACCACATTAAGGGACTGATCGTATCTTAAAGGACACGGAGAGCCACAGAAAGCTTTTCTGCAGGACACCAAAGTTAATCTGCTGTGGTTTTAGGATGGAGTGAAAAGGGAGAGGATGAAAGCAAGGCGACTGTAGTAGAGTGAAGGATGAGGTCGAGGAGGGCCTGGATTCCAGCAGCGGGTGCCTGGGTGGAAAAGAAAGTGCGCGCTGGAGAGAGAACACATAGCAGGCACCTTCATTTTCGACAGGTACCTGCATGGGGAGGGTGGCGGAGGGGTAAGCCAAGTGTTGCACTGAGGTTTCCTGTGTGGGGGA